CAGCTTTTTTATTTCGTCCATGTTTGCAACTGTCCAAATTGGGATGAACTGATCACTGTCCATTTGGGATATCAGGTAAAGGTCCTTTGACAAATTTTCTCTGAAAAGAAATAAACAGAAGCAACAGTCCTATAAAACAAACAATTCTTAAAAAACACTTAAAGGAAACATATCTTAGTCACTTCTGTCACTAAGTGTAGGACAACAAAATTATTCTATTAGAAATAACATAGTCAACTGTGAAAATATACAAGTTATTATGCATAATAAACAACAGATATATTCTAACAACTTCCAGAAAGTTTCTGAATCCCTAAATACCTGTGTGGCTCCAATCGCTTTGAACAAAGGATTTTATGGAATTATATTAATATGGAAAAAGGCTTAATATTAGATTTTAAAAATTATGCTACAAAATATCACATACACTATAATTATACCTTATAAACATTTATCACTGGTGTTAGAATATGCATAATAGAAAAATTATGGTTTACACCATCAGTTGGATTGTGGAGGATTTTAGGTTTGTGAATGTTTACATTTTTTAATAAGTATGACTGACTTTTTATTCAGATTTTAAACATTTAAAATTAAGATGAAAGATTAAATAGTTTAAAAAAAGATACAAACACTTCTATCTTACACCAGAAATCTTGTTTAATAAATTGAAGCAAAATCAAACTTCTCTGTCTTGTTATTCACACAAAATATTTGAATCGATCTGGTTATAAATATCTAAAAGTCTCTGATTAAAAACCACCTTCTCTAGAGCCACCCTATTTAAATGTGAACAACCCAAGCACCTCTGATGCTCCTTCCCTTGCTTACACNACACACACACACACACACACACAATCACCTCAACTGATAGAAAGCATCTCACAAAATCCAACACTCTTTCATGATAAAAACATTCATTAAATTAAAAATGGAAAAAGCAATTTCCTCAATATTACAAAGGCTGTATGTGAAAAGCACACAGCTTACATCACAATGGTGAAGGACTGAAAATCTTCCCATAAGATCAGGAATAAGACAAGGCTGTCCACTTTGGTCAGTTCTATTCAACACATATATGGAAGTTCTAGCCAGAGCAATTAGGCAAGAAATAGTAATAAAAGACATCCAAACTAGAAAGGAGAAGTAAAACTGTGTCTGTAGATGATAAGATCTTATATGCAGAAAATCCTAAATACACACACACACACACCAACCCTGTTAGATCTAATCAACAAATATACAGGATACAAAATTAACGCTCAAAAACGGTTGGCTGTCTATACATTAGGAATAAACAATCTGAAAGGGAAATTAAGAAAATTCCATTTATAATGGCATCAAAAAGAATAAAATACTTTTAACCAAGTAGGAGGATGATTTACACACTGAAAACTATGACAAGTTGCTGAAATAAATTAAAGACTTAAATAAATAAAACATCATCATATGTTCATGAATTGGAAGGCTTAATACTGTTAAGATGACAATACTACCAAATATATAGATTCAGTGTATTCTCTATCAAAATCCCAATGGCATTTGGAGAAACAGAAAACTTCAACCTAAAACTGCTATGAAATTTCCAGTTACACTGAATACCCAAAACAGTATTGAAAAACAGTAACATTTTAGAGCTCACACATCTCATTTCAAATCTTACTACAAAGCTATAGTAATCAAAACAGTGTGGTACTGGCATAAAGAAAGATATTAATGGAATAGTCAAGAAACAAATTTTTGCATATGTGGTCAACTGGTTTTTGACAAGGGTGCCAAAACCTTTCAATGGGGATAGAAGAGTCTTTTCAACAAATGGTGCAGGGAAAACTGGATGTCCACATAAGAAAGAATGAAGTTGGACCCTTACCTTATATCATTTAAAAAAAATTACCTCAGAATGGATCAAAGTGCTAAGTTTAAAAGCTAATACAATACTATAAAACTCTTTGAAGAAGACAGGGGAAAGCTTCATAACCTTGGATTTGGCAATGATTTATTAAGTATGACACCAAAAGCACAGGCAACAACAGAAAAATCAGATATACTGGGCTTCATTAAGATAAAAAGCTTTTGTGTCTCAAAGGACACTTGAAGAGAGTAAAAAGACAACCCACAAAATGGGGAGAATTTCCAAATCATATCAGATAAGGGACTAATATCCAGAATATACAGAGAACTATAACTGAACAACTACAAAACAAACCAGTTAAAAAAATGGACACAGACTTGAATAGCTATTTCTCCAAAGAAGATGCACAAATGGCAAGGAAGCACATGGCAAGATGCTCAACATCATTAGTCACTGGGAAAATAAAACCCCAAATGATAGTAAGATACCACGTTACAAATATTAAAACAGCTTTTATCAAACGCATAAAACAGTGTTAGTAAGGATGTGGAAAAATTTCAATCCTTCTGCACTGCTAGTGGGAATATGAAGAAATGATACAGCCACTGTGGGAAGTTTGCGCTCCTCAAAATGTTAAAAATATAATTAGCACGTGACCTAGTAATTCCTAGGTATATATATACCTGAAAGAATTTAAAGCAGGGACTCAAACAGGTATCTGTGCAGTGTTATTCACAACAGCTAAAATGTGGAAAGAACCCAATTTTCATCAATAGATGACAGATAAACAAAATGTGGTACGTACATGGGATATTATTCAGCCAATAAAAGGTAATGAAGTTCTGTTACATGCTAAAAGATGCATGAAAGTAGAAAACATTACACCAAGTAAAATAAGCCAGATTCAGAAGGACAAATATTGTATGATTCCACTTATACGCGGTATCTAAAAGAGGCAAAATTATATTCAAGCACTGCCTCTTAACAAAATTACCAACACACCAAGAAATGGGCACAAACATTATTCACTTAATCCCTTTCCTCCAAGATAATGCTTTTGAATTACAGAACTTAAGAAATTAAAAGTATGCACTCTCCAGACAAACAATCCAAAACCTTAGAGGCAAACTGACACATCCAAGATCAAAAGAGCTTGTGGATGACAGCAGCATCAAGGGCTGGAATATAGTATTTCTGACTCCTGCACCTGTCTTTCTAGGTACTAGGTCATTTGGTTTTAATGAATGGTATAAAAATTAATATTCATCTGTGAACTGAATCTCCTAGCAAGATTACTATGTGATGGCTAACCAAAAGAACTATAAATAAAAACCAAAATAGCAGATAAAGAAAATAGAATACTATAATGAAATATACGTATTTTATAACCACTGTAACTAAAATCCAGCAAAAGCAACAAGCTCTAAGAAATGGGAGGTATAAGAAATAATCAGGAGAGTGATTATTTGTAGATGATATGATCTCTCAGGCAGATAATCCAAAAGACCAACAAACCAATGGATACAATATGGAGTACAAGGTTGCTCCATACAGTAACATCAAAAAAAAAAAAATTGCTTTAAGGAAGTAATTATAAAATACAACAGATTTGAATTGAGAGAAATATATCATAATAAAGCCACCACAATATTGAATAATGTGGAGTAAAACTGCTGTTTCCAATTTAAACAATAAATTAAATGCAATTTCATTAATACCAATATGGATTTTGTTTGGTTGGTGCTGTTAAACCAAACTTCTAAAATTCATATGGAAAAGTAATGGTCTAAAAATGACCGTGCGTAAGGACATAGAGAATTATAAAACTATGGTAATAAAAAGTGATATTTGTTCAGTAGAGACTGATAGCCCAGAGAACCTGAAACAGGTGTAACAGATGCAACATTACACACAAGTTGTGGAAGGATAGACCACTCAACAAATAAGGCAGTGCTTTCCATATATGGAAAGCAATGAAATTAGATCCCTATCTTACACGACACATCAAATTAATTCCAGATGTATCAAAGACCTACATATGCTATATAAAATTTTAAAACTATTAGAACACCTAAGAGAATAGAACAGCCTCAAGCAGGGAAAGGAGACAATAGAGAGAAGACCATTATAGGCAGAGGAATTAGAATCACATCTGGCAGTTATCTTCATCTGTAATATGGAAATAATACCACCTACCACCCAGTAACATTGAGGTTTAAATATGTCAAGTTCTTAAAACAGCATTTGACATTTGATTTCTTAATAAATGTAAGCATCTTTCATCCTGGTTCTTCCACTTATTAGTTGTGTGAAACTGGATAGGTGACTCTCATGCCTCACTTTCCTAACAGTAAAATGATAAAAACAAGAGTACCTGCCTTATCAGGTTCATGTAAGAATTAAATGAGTCTATATATATAAAGTACTTAAGAGTGGAAACTGACATGCACTAAGAGCTCAATAAGAATAATGTATTCACAAATAATAACAATTACTATATTATACAGGGAATGAGGAGGACGCCAAATTAAGTTCATGTTTGGGAGTCTATTTTAGATGGTAGTAATGTGGAGAATGGACTGTGAGGGGGTAAAAGTTGAAGGCATAAAGGCTGAAGGCAAAAGTTAAGAGGCTACTCCAACAATTCAGGCCTAAACAATGATAATAATGACTGAAAGAAGTTTCGAAGGCAGATTTCATGGTATCTGAGAACAGGTAAGATATAACGAGAGTGAGCAAAGGATCACCAATGACTACTCCTAGGTTCCAAAATGATTGAATGTTAATATGGTGCTGCAGTTAACTGAGACAAAGTTAAGAGTACTGAGAATGTTTTCTACTTTTGATACTAAAAAATTGTTCCTGTTCCTCCTTTTAAGATCTGGAATTATCTGACAGGTTGTCAATCAGCATCTAATTAAAACTTTATGCTGTCTGAAGCTATGCCTTTGGAAAGAACTGCTGTATAGAAAGTATTTTGATGTCCTATCAACTAATATTCTGAAGTAGCATATCACATGACCCAGACATTTCTTTAGAATCATTATGGGTTTTATAAATTATTATACATCTGTTTTTTAAATTCTCAAACAGATAAACAACAAAAAACTCTGTTTCATGATAGTGTCTATTCACAAATTTTTCTTACCATGATAGGCTTGCCCTGAAATGTTTTAACTTCTTCTCTTAAGTATTTAAAAGCCTGTTAACAAAGCAGGAAGGACTTTCATTAGTATTCAAACATTTCATTAAAGCAATCTTTATTGTATGAAAAGAATTTGGTATTAGCAACAATTCTAAACAATATACAATTCTGAAGGTGATTCCATTATGCAGGTAATAGGGAATGAGAAGGTAAAAATTAAAGACCCATGCTACAGTTCATTTTTAGTGTACATTAGGTATTATGGATTACTGCAGATATAATGCACAAACTCAAAATGGACCCAAAGTATCACTAGTATTGTATCAATTAAGAAATGGTTCAGACAGCCTTCTAAGATAAAGAATTTTTTTTTAAAAATCAGTTATTTCAAAGTGTTGTTAGATACATTTTTGTTTCAAAGGACTATTATTTCTCTTAAGTAGAACATGACAACAATTAAGAGTAAAATCATTAAGTCAAAATTCCAAGAATCAGAAAAGAAGTTATTATTTATTGTGGACCAACTATGTATTAGAAATACTGACTATTCAGTCCATGGTTCCCAATATCCATGTTAAAATTGTGTGTTTATTTTTTTATTGATAGGAAACAAACTGTTCTTAACCTGACAATAAAAAGGCTTTTAGGAAGGTGATCAAAAAGGGAACCAATTAATAAGCAAAACCAAAAAGGTGAACAAGGTGCTCAACAGTTTTTACAAACATTACTGTAAGCAGATACTTTCTCCATTAAAATGTATCACTACTTCCTTTACAACCAGGACTTGAAATCAGAGGAAGTATTTTCTTCTCACCTGTTGTGCATCTGTATCTGACTGGAAAGTGATATACCAGTTGCTATTGTGTGCAAACTCACAGCTTATCACCTTGGGGCAGTTTTCATTTTTGAACAAAGCTTTCACTTCCTAAAAAGAAGAAAAACTTTTAACCTTTAAACTAAAGCCTTTCACTTCTAGTGGCAAGCTAAATTTTCCTTAAAGTAAAATCTTTCCAGTCCTGCCATTATCCAAAAGAGGTTATGTCTTCCATTAACATTTTTTAGGTGCTAAGTATTTTCATGACTCTCATTCAGTACAGATGTTTTGCCTACATCAGTCACAAACATGAACTCTGTACCAAGATATCTTCCCTTTCCCATAACTGAAATGAAATTTCAGTAAATGAAAACTAAAACTCCAAATATGAATTTGAAAAAAAAAAGATTACCAAAACTCAGAACTGAATAAAAGCTAATAGCTTGAAAGAAGTTTATAAAAAGAGCAGAAACAAAACAACTGGAAGTGAATATTAAGTATCCCTACAAAGTTATAGAAGGAAAGGAAATATCTACTGAGATACCTTCCAGAGTGAGACACTGTGCTTTACTCCTGAAAACAACCCTGTGTTGAGTATTTTATCACCTCCCATTTTACAGCTGAGGAAATGGTGGCTCAGATTGTTTAACTTACTCACACTACCACAAAGTGGAATTCAAACCCATATTTTTACACCTGGAGTTTTATATAAACTCCTTTTGTCTAATACCTATTTGAATTCAAGAAGAAATTTAACAGCAACCAGTAATTCCTAAATATCGAAAGAATTTGGTTAGGTTATTAACCTGATTCACAAAATATCAGTAGACATCAATTTAAAAAAAGACAAGCAGGAAGCTGACTGGACAATCAACAAGAAAACAGTGAAGTCTAACCTGTATTTCCTCACATTTTTAATACAGTGAATTAAAAAAAGAGATTATCTCTCCTTGCGATGAAATTTTGTTGGGTCAAGTACTAACTTAAATAAGTGGGCAATTAGCTGAGTTTTGTGATGTTTGTGAAAGATCACCAAGTTCAGTTTTTAAAGAAAATTCCCATCCAGTCCAGAACTACATTTTTGGAGAACTTCCGATGGAACTGCTAGATTGCCTCCTGCTAATCTCTACCTTCAAAAATTCATAGATACTCTCCAAGTATTTCTAATTCCCTTAAAATGTGTAGGAATTGCCTAATTTATTTAAATCTTAACAGTATCCCTACTTTCAGCCTCTATCATTCTTCTGGAAGAGTTATATTCACAGACCTACTTTCCCAAATATAATAGAAGTCTGTATCTACAGTAATAAAAAATGCAATACACCTGACAAGAATATTTAAAGCCAGAACCCAAAAACCTTCGCTTTAATTAAATTTCAGTGATTACTGCCTAGGTTAACTTCTCTGGCTATTTTAGTCATCTGCATTTCCTTTATTTCTTTCAATGAACAGTATATTTCTTTAAATGAACAAAGGTTTATTTTATTTACTGTTTTTCAAGCGTGAGTTCTTTATGTATTCAGAATATGAATTACAATAACTAAAAAAATAATAATGGCTAACCTTAGAGTGTTTTATCTGCTAGGTACTGCTCTAAACTTTTTTCTAACTCCAGTTGTATGAGTCACTTATTACTACTATCCCATTTAACAGATAAAAACACTGAGGCAAAAGAGGTTAACTTATACCAAGGTCACAAAGACATCAAGCAAAAAAGCTGAAATTCAAATCCAGGCAGTCTGGCTGTGGAATTCAGGCTCATATGCTCTTAGTATTGCAAATATTCTTCCCATTCTGCAATTTTCCTTTCAATCTGTTACTTCTGACATACAGTTCATAATTTTACATCAAAGATTTATCTAGTGATAGTTCTTTTCTATTTTCTCTCATTGTTTCTAAGTTTAGGAAATCTTCATTCTGGAAATTTAATACTGAATGACAACTGGGCAAAAAGATTAATGTGCCAAATTTGTTAGGTGGCAAAGGTCTAAAAATTATTTTTAAAATGGCTAATCAATTACCATCTATCAGTTACTGATTAATCCTCCCTATCTCTAACTTACCATACATTAACATGACAACTTATGTGAAGCTCTGTGGCTTAATGGTTAGTAAAGGAACATGGGCTTTGGAATGAGTGATCAAGTTCAAATTCAGACTGTCATTTAAACAGCTCATGTGTTCTTAGCTCTTCAACAATACTAAGGCTCAGTTACTTTATCTGTAAAGCACAGATAATAAAACCTTAGGCCTTAAATAACTATGAAGTACACTGCACAATACACTGCAGAACCTAATTACTACATAAATGCTATTATACACATTTTTACATAAAAGGATTTTGGGTGTACTCTTCATTCAAATATGATTTTATGATTTTATTCTTGTACCTGTACCACAGCATCTTTAGGACTGAAGCTTTGCTTTATATTTTGCTAACCAGTAGGGTTAGTCCTGACTCATTAACCCTTATATATATTCTCTTCTTCATTCCTACATTTATTTCTTTCAGATGGATCCTCAAGTTCCCAGAAGAACCTATTTTAATTGCCATTCAGTTAAATCAGTAAATTGAGAAAGTATCACTGCAATACCCTTCTAAGAACAAAGAATTATACTTTCTTCCTCCTTCTCTCCAGTAGTTTCCCAAAAAAATTTACAAAAAAAAATTAGTATTTATCCTATCTATAGTAACTGATAAGAGGGCAATGACTTATACGCTGATGTTTACCTTCTCAAATTTAAGCAGTTAAAGAACATTTAGTTTTATCAATACTTAATACTTTACCTCTATTGGTGTTGTTTCAGGAATTTCTCTAAGAATCACAATACAACGCTTATGACTTGGTCTCACTTTCTCGCCCTTCTCATCAACTTGTACCAGGGGAGAAGCTGAAATTTTAAAAAGGGTTTCATTCAAAAGTGACCAGTAGAGATAGTAATGACATTAAAAAGCTACTCATTTCCATTTTCAACTGAGTGAATTAGTAGAAGCTAATATCCTAAAGAGGCTAAGCTATAGAACCAAAGATTATAGTAATGACAAAATATTTTGAGATGACTATGCAAAGAACACTGTCAAATATTATTCTTTGAACAAATATTAAGAGTACCTACTCTGTGACTAGGCACTGTGTTGGAGTTGAAAAGAAGCACACAACACTTATATAGAAAGGCAATTTCCTTGTATATAATTACCAAATTCTTTATTTCGAGAGACAACAAAAATCAGTGTATATACTTGCATTAGTCAAACACTACTCTGGGGGATGTTAATGAGCTCTGTAATGTAAAAGAAATTCTTCTTAGTATCAAAGTCTAAGAAGCACTTGAACCAAGAATTATACACTACTCTATCCTTGATTTTAACATATTTATTCTTACATACTACTATAGAGAAGTTGTAGTGTGTAAGCTATCTTTTGGATGCTGATTTTGAGGAAATACTGAACGACAAAACTTTTATTTTCTCTACCTTCAGAGAGATAATAATATGCCACATCTCCCCGAACAGGTAAATAGACTAAAAGCAGGTGAGGAAGAAAGCTGGGGTATTAAGTGCAAGGTTCCAGCCCTTATAAGTGGGGAATCCTGTTTGTCTCTTGGCCAATTTTTTTATGTTGACAAGAGTCATTTGAAGAAATATCTGAACAAACTATCAGAGATTTCATAAATGTTTTTAGCCCTCTGTGAAGGGAAATCCTTTACTCCCAAATACTATTATTGGATTTATTGTATTAAACATTTTCAACAATACATTTCATATAAAAGTAAAGATCTACCTTTATCCTGTCAAGTAGTTAACAAAACCCGCAGAAGAAACATTACTGAGAAATACTGATATGAGACACACATACGACTAAAAATCCTTAGAAATTAAATCTAACATAAATTATTTACCAAACTTTAGAGAGTATTTCTCAGACTATGGGTCACAAGTCTTTAATAGGTTGTGAAATCAATTTAAAATAAAAGAAATGAGTTCTGGCAAGTATTTAAAATTAATCTGTGTAACTGACATTTCAGTTGTGTACAAGTATGTGGTATGTATAGTGGGCTGTGATGTAAAATGTGCTTCTTCCTTGGGTTCAAAAGTTTGAAGCAGCCTGCTTTAGAGGATATGATAATGACATATATTATAGCTTTCTTATAGTCTAGAAAGTGGAAATTTAACTGTATACTTGAGTAAGTGGGTTTCAAGATGAACCACCAAGGTGCTGAACTGATATGGAAGCTACACAGTGGACAGTAAAAATTAAATTACTGGAACAGAATAGCGAAAAAAGTGGGCGGGGAGGAGTTAAAAACAATTCCCTGTATGAGCAGAAACCAAAAGAGTAAATTTTTGACTTTAAGGAACAGGCTAAAAGGTATGATTTACATACATCTCAACACTTCAAGAATTAGATCAGGGTCTGTGGTCAGCTTTTTTATTTCGTCCATGTTTGCAACTGTCCAAATTGGGATGAACTGATCACTGTCCATTTGGGATATCAGGTAAAGGTCCTTTGACAAATTTTCTCTGAAAAGAAATAAACAGAAGCAACAGTCCTATAAAACAAACAATTCTTAAAAAACACTTAAAGGAAACATATCTTAGTCACTTCTGTCACTAAGTGTAGGACAACAAAATTATTCTATTAGAAATAACATAGTCAACTGTGAAAATATACAAGTTATTATGCATAATAAACAACAGATATATTCTAACAACTTCCAGAAAGTTTCTGAATCCCTAAATACCTGTGTGGCTCCAATCGCTTTGAACAAAGGATTTTATGGAATTATATTAATATGGAAAAAGGCTTAATATTAGATTTTAAAAATTATGCTACAAAATATCACATACACTATAATTATACCTTATAAACATTTATCACTGGTGTTAGAATATGCATAATAGAAAAATTATGGTTTACACCATCAGTTGGATTGTGGAGGATTTTAGGTTTGTGAATGTTTACATTTTTTAATAAGTATGACTGACTTTTTATTCAGATTTTAAACATTTAAAATTAAGATGAAAGATTAGTTTAAAAAAAGATACAAACACTTCTATCTTACACCAGAAATCTTGTTTAATAAATTGAAGCAAAATCAAACTTCTCTGTCTTGTTATTCACACAAAATATTTGAATCGATCTGGTTATAAATATCTAAAAGTCTCTGATTAAAAACCACCTTCTCTAGAGCCACCCTATTTAAATGTGAACAACCCAAGCACCTCTGATGCTCCTTCCCTTGCTTACACTGCTCTATTTAATTTTTTTCCACTGTGCTTTTACCTAATACACTTCTAAATTGCTTATTTATTGTTTTGTCTCCCCCAGCCAGAATACAGATTCAATGAAGGATCTTTGTTGTTCAAGATGTTTCCTAACTCTAGTGCCTACCAAGGAAGTAGGATCAAAGGCCTTTACATTCAAATTATAATAAAATAGCAATTATTTTTTAAGGTTTCTATTGTCAACAGCCCATGGTTATTTGTTTTTTTAGGGTAAAAAGAGGATAGCAGTAAAAGTTAAACTTATTTTAGCATAAAAGGAGGGATACTATCACTGCCCTCATAAACAAGATAATTCCTTAAGAGCCTTAAAATAAGACAACTGTAAACATAATATTTAGACAACTAAAAAGTTGTAACCTAAATCAACTCCCACTTTCAGCAGGTCCAATTCTCACAAAATAGTGTGTCAAACCCTTAAAGAAACTGTATCTCATCAGAAGTAAGTCAAATGGATGGATATAAGTTACATCTAGGATTTGACCATTCATGGCTAATATTTGATATATACTAATAGAAATTTTGCTGGGCTACAAATGTTAACTGCCCAGATGATTTGAACAGTATCACAGTTCTGAGTAGATTGTGGTAGATCCTGACTAGCCAGAGGCCCACTGCAACAACTAAAAAAGCCTGGATAAATTATAAAGGTCATTGTTTTTGGAGATAAAAGGAGAGCTGTGGGAGCTATAAGGACAAAATGAAATTCCAGAAAGATGATTTTTCTTTCCTGAGGGCATTTGCTGATCCTGGACCAGAGGAAAACCAGCAGAGCTTTAGGTAGGTACACACAGGACTGAGATTATAAAGGAGCTCCCAACACACAGCTGATCCTCTCCCATTCTGAGTTCTAAGGAGGAAGATTGGAGATGGGGAGCCAAGTTGAAAAGGTGGATGATATCTTTAAGGTGTCATGATGTCCCAGTAAGAACTTTTACCAAACATAAGACAGGTCTCCCCACAAGACACATGCCAGACTATGAATCTGCATAGAGTAAAAAGATGATGAACTAATCTCAAACCTCTGAAGAACAGAACTAATTTCTGTTGTTGTTTCAGAACTGATGTAACAGAAAACCGCCAACTTCTAAGTCAGAATCTTGAGAAGGGCATGCCAAAGGAGCAATAAATTAGAGATGGACTTGAATGGCTGCTCCGCCCTGACCTAGTTCAATGCCTGATGGAATTAAAGCAATCAATCTGCTTCCACCTACCAGAATAAAGCCCAAATCTTGTCTAGAGGAAATATTATGTCCCTGCAGCTTCTAGCTTCTTTTATACATAAGGTCCAGCAGATAAACCAAGTTTGTAAGACACACGAAAAGGAAGGATGACAGAGAATCAAGAGAAAAATCTCAGAAATATAAGCAGACACACAACTGATCCAGTTAATAGGCAAAGATTTTTACAATAATTATTACAAGTATGTTATAGAAAATGACTATTATAAGTATGTTACAGAAAATGAATTGTTATCACAGGTCCAACTGACTAGAGAAAAGAAATCCAGAAGGCTTTTGCTTTCATCCTAGAACCCATACTAAACTACAAAAGCAAAGCATAAAAAGGAAGGGAAGAAAAGGGAGATACTTAAGCTGAAGAACCAATTAAACCCAAGTCAAGACTGTATTATGTGTAAAGAAATAAGTCTTTGACAAAATCCAGATTTCTAGCTTGACAAAGTGGTTCACTGGTCTGACCTCTCACCAGATACAGAAAAAAACAGAAGGTATTACATTTGTATACATACCCAAAACTTAATTTTGGAAGGAGCAGTTCTACATATTCAAGTTTCATGATATCTAAGCTCTAGACATACCTACATAATTCTCTTCTGTAAATAAGAGCTCTTGAAACATCTGCCTAAATGAACTCCTTATTTAATAGAACACACTGATAATGTAAATCCTATGCCCATCTACCTAATTAACTTGCTAAAAGTAACTCCATGATCAAAGGTTATAAGAGCCAACTACTAAAAATAAAAACTAAGAGATAATCACATTTCTGAAAACATTAAACCTGAATATGTTCTTAAGTATCCAACAGAAATTTCATTATTTTTCCACTAAGAATAGATCCTTTACAGATCCATTTGGAGGTTACATCTTTAAATCTAGTTAATAAATATCCTGGAGAATGGTATCAAAATACCCGAAAATCGAAATCACTGAAAATCAGCATTTTTCACTCTAGTTCAATCTATTAATCACACAATTCAAAAAAAGAGAAATAGCAATAAAAAAGATTATAGTGTACCGTGAGAAACAAAATTCTAATTGTTTCTTCAGACATTCTTTTAGGTCTTCTGGAGAAATTGCTGAATTGCTTTCTCCTGATAAAAAAGAGGGGAAAGTCAATACCAAATTAAAAGAGGTGGTAAATTTTACATATTGTATTCAGAATAAGTCACAAAGTACAAATTAAAATTCACCACAAAACTGCTTTTATTTAGAGTTTAAATAACACAAGGTCCAACTTAATTTCTTTCAACCTACTATTCTCTAGATAGATTTCATATCAGTTTGAAACCTATTTTATCAAGTAATTAACATTGATACTAAAAGCACTTGACTACCACATTGTAAAACACTACCCTAAAACTTTTTAAATGTGATGACTAATTCCTTAAAAACTCAAAGAACAAAAGTAATAGTAGTCTAAATTTGAAGATAGGAACTAGCTAAACAAAGTGGGAGATAATACATATATTATCTCCGCATTTACATTATTGGCAATAAATCTGGTGTTAGTATAATAATCACCTAATGCTTCATTAACATAAAGTTCCTTTCAAATAAGAAAATAGACTGATCAATGCCATAGGTTTATGACGATATACCTATCCATACTCCTTGGACTTCTATCTCTTAGTATTCTTTTAATTCCCTGATTTGAGAGCACTATGTCTCCCTAGGAGTATTTAAAGCACTCAAAACATCCAAGGATCAGATCAACTCTCTAACAGCCTTCTATGCTTGATGTTTGAAGCCAGAACATGAGACTTTTTAGGGACTCAAACCAGGAAAACCATCAATATCTTATTAGACTCAAACAAATCACTACAGACTCAAAGCATATAATTTGTCCTCTCTTTAAAATCTGTGCATGATTTTACCACTACCTTGATCTACTTGATTTAGGATTCAAAGTGATATTAAATACTGACTTCATTAAGATGAATACAAGAAGCCGCCTTCTATTTGTATGTATATACAATCCTTCCAATACAAAATTCATCCACCCAAATGCTAGCTAAATGAGAAATAACTAGATTTAAGCTTTGTACTAACCATTATGGCAAACTTATTAAAATACCAACTGGCTGCCACATTACTTAAATCAACTCTATGTTCAAAGTAGCCAATAATTAGGTATGACAAATTGGAAGTAGATCCTACCACCTTCAATTATATGGAAATACTACCCCATTCCACTTCAGAAATCAACTTACAAACTGACAGACCTTAGAAATCTCATCCATTTATAATAAATAAGGAAATAGAGGACAAAGGTTTATATAACTTGACTGAAGTCACAGAACTGAGCAGTGACAGAAATGCATACTCCCTATTGTATTTATTTTACAGTTTAGAAATTAGAAAAATAAAATTAGGTAGTTAGAGTCTATGGTACATTTTTTAGTTTTTAAATCCAAGCAACTACTAATCTATGCTAATTAATGTGAAAAAAACATATTCCACAAATTAACCCCAGCAATTTCACATTTATAAGTGCATTTCATATTGACAAAAGCAATGGGAAAACTGAAAAAACCTTCATTGACCTCAACTAACAGACCAAGAAACCCGGACTCTCTGAAAGACTGTAATTGTGGTCTCTCTGAACTATCTTGACTATTTTTTCCTTTTAATTCCACGTTTTCCTTTAATAGATTTTTAAACATTTTTTAGTAACAATTTTCATATTTGGCCATTTGAAAACAGTATAATAATCACCTAACACTTCATTAACATAAAGTTCCTTTCAAATAAGAAAATAGATTGATCAATGCCATAGGTTTATTACGAAAATGATAAAGAGACTGTAGGGAGGAAAAGACTAGCGTACTGTATTTTCATTTTACCAATAAAACCAAAAAGTTTACCAGAAACATCATATATTGGGTAACTCAGATCTTCTGGTCCTAAAATCATTCCATCAGTTGATTCTTCAATGCAGGTAGTATTTCTTGTGCTTTCACAAGATGGATACATTACTTCAAATTCCTTACACATTTCATCTGAAAGCTCTGTATTACCTGTATTAAAGAAAAAATACTGAAAGTAAACAGGGATTCTATAAATTGTATTTTTAGGAACTCCAGGTACTCTATCTTCTTTAACAAGATTTCAAGGAATTCTACCAGTCAGGAAAATGTCTGTGTGGTTTCTAGAAGTTCTCTTCCTAAGGAAGGTAAGTTTTGACCACTATGGAGAAGATAAAATGATTAACAAGTTTAATTTTGTATACCACTATCAATATATCAGACAGCTTTATGCATTTTATTCATTACTTTTCAGATCTAATTCTATGCCAAAAATAGTAATTATTACCATTTTTCAGATGAAGGAAACAAGCATTAAGTCAAGTCATCTGCCTAAGGTCAAACAGCAATGCCACTGAAGGTAGATCAAAACTTACTTATAAATACTATGATATAAATGGATTAAATGCTGTACCCAAAGATATAGCTACTATTTGAAATTACTGACAATACATTCATACTGGATATAAATGAGAATTGTATACAAACTACATGTTAAACATTTATAAATGTATTTAACCAAATAATCAAAGGATGTACCCCAAAAGTTCAATAAACAGGTTTGACCATATGTTTAACCAAAATATGGCTGTTTTAATGAAGTATTTATGACCTACCCTCAGGATGAGACCCCGATGTAGATGCTGTTTCATGCCAAGAGCTTTCAGTTCCATGACTTACTGAAGTGGCATCAGTACTTCCAGGAGGAATTTCCTGCCATACTTTGGCATTAGGATTTAAACCAGTTCCTTTAGATGTTACCTGCTAGATAATCAAAGGATCTATTTGTAAATTTTAAAAGTCAGTGTAATAAAATTACAAATTTAAATAACTTTTCCATTACTTAAATGTGAAGAAAATTCCAATACTACTAACTAACCCAATAATAAAGAAATGTTAAATAATATTTTGAAGTTTTTGGCTCAACTTGAAAATGTAAGTCTTTTTTTTTATTGGTATCATTAATCTACAATTACATGAACAACATTACGTTTACTAGGTTCCCGCCTTCACCAAGTCCCCCCACAACCCCCATTACAGTCACTGTCCATCAGCGTAGTAAGATGCTGTAGAATCACTACTTGTCTTCTCTGTGTTGCACAGCCCTCCCCATGCCTCCTCCCACATTATACATGCTAATAGTAATGCCCCCTTTTTCCCCCCACCCCCTTCCCATCCATCCTTCCCAGTCCAGTCCCTTTCCCCTTGGTAACTGTTAGTCTATTCTTGGGTTCTGTGATTCTGATGCTGTTTTTTCTTTGTTCTTATACTCCACATATGAGAGAAATCATTTGGTACTTGCCTGGCTTATTTCACTGAGCATAATACCCTCTAGCTCCATCCATGTTGTTGCAAATGGTAGGATTTGTTTTCTTCTTTTGGCTGAATAATATTCCATTGTGTATATGTACCACATCTTCTTTATCCATTCATCTACTGATGGACATTTAGGTTGCTTCCATTTCTCGGCTATTAAATAGTGCTGCAATAGACATAGGAGTGCATATGTCTTTTTCAAACTGGGCTGCTGCATTCTTAGGGTAATTTCTAGAAGTGGAATTCCTGGGTCAAATGGTATTTCTATTTTGAGCTTTTTGAGGAACCTCCATACTGCTTTCCACAAAGGTTGAACTAATTTACATTCCCACCAGCAGTGTAGGAGGGTTCCCCTTTCTCTACAACATCACCAACATTTGTTGTGGTTTGTCTTTTGGATGGTGGCGTTCCTTACTGGTGTAAGGTGATATCTAATTGTGGTTTTAATTTGCATTTCTCTTATGACTAGCGATGTGGAGCATCTTTTCATGTGTCTGTTGGCCATCTGAATTTCTTCTTTGGACAACTATCTGTTCAGCTCCTCCGCCCATTTTTTAATTGGATTATTTGCTTTTTGCTTGTTGAGGTGTGTGAGCTCTTTATATATTTTGGATGTCAACCCTTTATTGGATCTGTCATTTATGAATATATTCTCCCATACCGTGGGATGCCTTTCTGTTCTATCGATGGTGTCCTTTGCTGTTACAGAAACTTTTCAGCTTGATATAGTCCCGCTTGTTCATTTTTGCTTTTGTTTCCCTTGATCGGGGAGATATGCTCATGAAGAAGTCACTCAGTAGAACAAAGCGAGGATGTGGAGAAAGGGGAACCCTCCTACACTGCTGGTGGGAATATAAACTAGTTCAACCATTGTGGAAACCAGTATGCATGCTCATCAAAAAACTCAAAATAAAATACCATTTGACCCAGGAATTCCACTTCTAGGCATTTACCCTAAGAATGCAGAAGCCCAGTTTCAAAGAGACATATGTACCCCTATGTTTATCACAGCCCTATTTACAATAGCTAAGAAATGGAAACAACCTAAGTGTCCAGCAGTAGATGGATAAAGAAGATGTGGTAAATATACACAAAGGAATGTTATTCAGCCATAAGAAGAAAACAGATCCTACCATTTACAACAACATGGATGGAGCTAGAAGGTAGTATGCTCAGTGAAATAAGCCAGGTGGAGAAAGACAAGTATTAAATGATTTCACTCATCTGTGGAGTAGAACAACAAAGAAAAAACTGAAAGAACAAAACAGAAGCCGACTCACAGAACCCAAGAATGAACTAACAGTTACCAAAGGGAAAGGGACTGGGGAGGATGGGTGGGAAGGGAGGTATAAGAGGGGAAAAGGGTCATTACAATTAGCACATTTAATGCAGGGGGTAGGGGGGGTCACATGGAAGGCAGTATAACAGAGAAGACAAGTAGTGATTCTATAGCATCTTACTACACTGATGGACAGTGACTTTAATGGGGTATGTGGTGGGGACTTTATAATAGGGGGAGTCTAGTAACTATAATGTTGTTCATGTAATTGCAGATTAATGATACCAAAATTTAAAAAAAAAGTAGAGAGAGGAAGAAAGCAAGATGTACATATACACTTATTTCACCTTATTCAACCCAACGGGGCTTGGTCCTTCTCAAGTATATAAAGACCCTTCAAAAAGTTTTCTCCCTTTCCAGAAAATTCCCTTTCACTGCCTTCTCAGCCACAGGCCCCTCCCTTCATGGAAGACACCAGAAGGTGGATTCAAAGGGCAAGGAATAAATTACTTTAGCTTATGACCTGCATAAGCTAAAGTATGAATCCAGCTTCCACAAAGAGTAACTAGTACACACCAAATCATTTATCAGAAGGTTGTCATAAATTCTGTCTGCCTGGAGGGAATTCTTCGGACTAACCTTGGCTCATGAGGTTAAAAAAAAAAAATCAGCCTTTTAGGTATCATCAATATCCAAATATAGTTAACCAAAGCAAGACTCTGGGTAGGCAGAACTGCAGAGCCACAGAGTTGCTGAAAAAACTCAGCTTCTGGGAGGCCTAACTATACTTCCTGCAATTATATCCCATGAAATTCCCCTGTACCCTTTTAATCTAATAAATCGATTTTCACTTGAGTTATGAGCTTCCACACTGTACAACTAACATGACATATGTATGAACCAATAAAACATTGTTTAATTACTCTTCATCTTGCAATACATTGCTTGCTTCCTTTTATCAACTGAAACCTAATTTGAGAAAAAGGAGAAAGGTGAAGACACAATGTCCTTTTCCATGTCAAGGTTAATATGAGAGGAAGGACTGGGCCTTGAAATAGTGGTACGAGGCAGTATTTTGCCACTGATACTGTTTATCAGGCGTGGGATAACAAGCAGCATATGCCTTTTAGTCAACTTTATTACTGTTTTAAAATTCTCTAGAGAGAATACATTCCCCCTTTCTGCCCTCACCAGACAGCACCCTCCTACCACTTTGCTTTTGGATCTGAGCTGCTTGAGTGTGATTTGGGAGTTTAGGTGCAGCATAATTTCTGCTGATGGCAGAACAGAACTGTGAAGAGCTTTGCCAGCCTAACCTTTCTGCCATGTGAGCACCATTTACTTTGATATTAAGCATTTTAATAGAAGAAAATTTATGTATTTATATACTTACTCTCCTTCCCTGTCCTCAACTTTGAGAATACCAATTATATCCCTATCCAAGAATATAGCAAATAATAAAGACTAGAGTTCTCAGAAAGAGAAACCAAACTTCTCCATTTTGGTAAGTACAATGAAAATAAAAAATTTTATTTTAACAAATAAGATCTGTACATGAAGAAGATACAGTGATGGGGTCATATACCTACTAGAAAGACCCCTAACTTACAGAATTGCTATGCATAGTACTATGTGGTTTTAGTAAAGCAAAACAGAGATTGTTACTTCAAAGTAGCTAATAATTATTACTTAAACATATAATGGTTGAGGCTACAGAATCACACTTGAATTCAAAACCAAGCTCTCATGTAATAATTGTGGGATCATAGGAACTTTAACTCATCTGAGTCTTAATTTTCTCAATTGCAAGCTGAAGTAAGAATTAACCTTAACTAAATTATATTAATACTTGAAAAGCAATTAACACTAAGTATAAATACTCTATATCTTTTTTTAATAAAGCTTGTTGGTTTTGAACGGAAGGTAATTCAACTATCTGACCCTCAAACGTATTACTACACAAACACTAATGCATTACATCAAAACAATTGCAAGCTGAAGTTAAAAAAGTTAAATGTAAACTATTATGTCACAGAACGTTAGCTTTGAAGAAACAGATATAAATCACAAAAGATGGATGGATGAATAAAGAATATAAAACTCCAAAAACTGAAAAGACTAGGAAAATATGATTTTAGAAAAAATACATGTACACAAATAGGAAAACAGATTATCATTTTATGCTTATTAGATTAGCAAAGCACTTAAAAATAATTCCCACACTGGCATGAAATTTGCAAACTCATTCCTTACTGGAGACTATACAGAATGGTACAACCCATATTCCCATATATTATCATTATTTATGAGAGCCAAGAAATGGAAATACCTGAAGTCAAACAGACAAGCAAGAATGGAAATTATTACACAGACACTAGGTAAAGTATTACATAACCATTCAAAATTATAAAGATATATTACTGCATTTTATAAAATCTAAAGGGGAACTAATACATCACAAAGAAAAAATTACTGTTTATTAAACTATGACACACCAAATATTTTTAAATGTATCCCAATTTTTGGAGAAGTTACAATGTGTAACATGGGCACCTTAGGGTTGACGGAACATGAAAAACATCAGATAGAAAGTACTTTCACACAATGAAGAAGAAGAAGAAAAAACCACAGCCACCACAGTAATAAAAGCAAACATGTTAAGTAAAATTCAATGGGCTAGGCACTGGACTGAATGCTTCACATGTATTATCTCACCTACTTCTTAAAACAATCCATTAAGTATCAGTATCCCTTTTATAGGTTATCCTCTTACATAAGAAATAATATATATAACCAAAGACATACAGAGATTAAGTATGAAGTCAGTATTAACCATACAGTAATTACAATTTACAGATTATTACAATTGCAAAAGGAATAAAAACAGATATGCACCAGAATGGAACATGACCTACTATAATAACCAAATCAGGGATTTTTTTCCTTTATAAAGCATTCCATTAAAATGTTGCCTTAAATTTGAGTCATAAAAATACGAAACTTAAAATAAGCTTATTATATACGATAGGGATTTTTCAAATTAGAACATAATTGTTAGTGTTCAGTACATTAAGCTCAAAGATTACTTTGTGCCTTTTGTGCCTATATAAATATGTACTATTACTTAGTTTTATACCAGTCAATAGTCATTTAAATTCACCGAAATGTT